AAAAATGTTGTAGTTTATATTTAATTAAAACATTCGATTTTATATTATAAATCTTAATTGTATAAATTGTTGAATTAAAAATATGCCATGGTTAAACGAAAATGATTTATGTTATATTGACAATTATCTTGGTCAGGATTAAATTTTCTTAAAGAAGAAGTTCTCTTATAAAATGAATCGTAAAGGACAAAAGAATAAAATACAAATAATTACAATTATTATAGCATATATAATTTATATAATAATTAGATTCAATTGCAGCTTTCGTGTGTTATTTGACCAAAGACATAGATGAGGATGAAAAAATTAAAGAATAAGATGAGAAAGAGAAAGCGAGACATAGTTTGAAATAAAGGGATAAAGCCATTTACAATAAAAGCCTGAAAATACTGGATTTACTATCCTGTAAAAAAACATCTCGTCCTTTATACAAGAGTTAGCATAAAGAACTGCATATAACACCACTCGAGCATTTCTTACGATGTGCAGTTTTCCTTATCATATCCATAGCTACGGAGCAGCAAAAATAACTCAAAAGCTTATGGTGTAGAATAAAAAAAAAGGAAGAGAAAAAAAGAAAAAGAAAAAAGTATCATATGTCATATCATATATCATATCAAAAGTATAAGTAAAAGTATAAAGTTAAAGTTCTAATTTCATATCTCTTAAATAGATTTGCTCTTCTTACTCATTTATATTCATTCGACTGTCTATGGATTCTTCTCTCACTCTCTCGCTCTCTCTCTCTCTCTCTCTCTCCCACATACAGCGCACAAACACCTTCTTTCTTTTTCACACTTATTTACTCAAATATCATACTATTATTGGGTTACAATAATTTTTCAATTAATTAAAAACATTGAAGTGATATTATCATAAACATTTTCTTAAAATTTATAAATAATTTAAAGATTAATATTTCACTCGAGCATTTCACATGAATTTAATATACTATGAATTATTTTGTCGATAATCAATGTATTACTAATTACTCAGTTTTTATTCCAATGAAACATAATGCAAGATAACACTGGAGAACTACAAAGTTTGTTTCATCTTCATTAGACCAATCACATGACCGAAAGTTTTCTTTATATAAGTTATAAATTTCTCTAAAAAAGAAAAACCATTATATATTCAGAAGAGCAAAAACTTTAAATTCTTTTAAAAATTCCAAGGTAAAGTCGTCCAAGTATATTGATGATTGATCCGATAATTCTTCTCCTTCTGCTTTTCAGGATGCGTGTTGAGTTTATACATATACGCAGTAGTTCACACTATGAAATGCAGTGATTTCGATTATTTTATAAAACGTGCAATTCTTTGAAATTATTAATAGAAAACTTAATTGTAAAAGATAATGTTTTTAATTATTCATTATTAAATCCTTGTTGCTATCAAAGCTTCCGCGCTCCTCTCGATTCATTTTACGCTTCATTCGACAGTCTATTTTATGTATTTCATAAAATTCTATAAAAATATCATTTTAATAGGTCATTAAAAATAATCTTTATATATCTTCTATATATACATATATATATATATATATATATATATATATATATAATCATCATTTTAATATGTGTGTTTAATTATAAATCATAAATAATTCATACATTTTCTTTATCGAAGAGTGAGAAATAAGTTTCAAAGTGGATAATAGCCATCAGAAAATTAACTCCATTTTAAATATTAAAATTATTAGCATAAACACGTTTTTTTTCTTTTCGAATAAATGAATACTATACGTATTCATAAGTTAAAACAATGGAATTAAAAAACAGAAAGAAAAATTAGATTGTAAAACTTCTTTCACTAGTTAAATAGTAAAACTCATAAAAGTAAGCCACTATTATGAAATTCAAGTGATCTCGGCTTAAATCGCATCTCGATCGGAGCTTGAAGCTGTTGACCCCGTCACGGGAGCGATAAGGTGGGGCGGACTATGCGTCCCCGCCCGGTTCCTTTTGGCGTCGGAGGATAGCACGTAACTAAGTTAGGTGTTTGTCATCTTGAGATGGATTATGTTTGCGCGTGTGAACAAAACAAAAAAAAAAAATATGAAGAGGTTTTGCGCAGCGTCCGGATAGGCCTGAATGTAACCAAAGAGGGCGAAAGAAGAAATAAATAGAATAAGATATAACATCGTTAAATGATAATGGAAACGATCGTTAATCAATGCTCGTCACTTATTTTCCTTTTAACGCCGAGTCGCACACTTTTGGCGCGTTAAGTCAGCTTCTTCTTGTTATATTGCTATACGAGAGTTTGAATGCAAAAGATTTCTGGATCCTTCCATTGCAGACTCGACTTATCCTCTACTTTTTCTTTCAATCAGCGACGCTTATTGCTCATTAATTTCCACATTTTCCCTCTAGTCCTTTCATATTTCTCTAATACATCTCTATTTCAATAATAACACCCGACGTTCGGACAAAATATGATGTGTTATTTCATAGTAATAGCATACATACACACACGCGCGCACGCGCGCACACACGCACGCACACATAATTTTTGCGAAATTTAGAAAACACAAATTTGAAAAATGATAAAGTCTACTCATAATCGATTATTTACACTATTTGTTCTCCTTTTTTAAAGATGAAACAGGCGAGGGCGATGAAGTTCGACAAATAAAAGTCATGTACAAGCAAAAAGCATAATTCAATAGTAAAATTACGTTTATTGAAAATTCCACTACTAACACTCCCAACTGGCTATTTGTTAATCGTATTAATAATTAATCAATTATAACAAATTTAATGCTTATATAAAAGTTATATTATATCATTATACGTTTATGACTGCACTTGCTCGTGCCGATAGCAACTGATCGCTATATTACGATGTGCTCAAAGACTACGAGGTTAAGACATAATACATCTTGACTGATCGTGCATCATACCAAGATTGTTTGTCCTTCGAATATTCATCGTCGTCGTATTCCTCTTATCTTTCTTAACAAGCGGATGATAGACAGAGCCACTCGCTCCCATTTCATTTCTAATTCGGCTTACCGTTTTATTTCATTAGCCACAATCACTACGTTCCGCTTTATTTCTGAAGGTCACTACGGATTTTTATTGTTCCCTATACATAGCTGGGGACTCGTGGAGGAGTTTGCACTTTTCACGAGCCCCGCCCACCTCGACATCCAGTGAGCATTCATGCTTACCCATTCCCTCACTAAAGCTCAAGTAATATGGTTTATCTATTTTTCCTTATTCTTTCATTTATTAATAATAAGGAGACTTTGTGTGAAAATTAAAATATAATTATATTTAAGATAAATGATAAACATAAAAACATCTTTTTCCCGAAATAGGCACCGACAACAATCTAATGAAATAACTTATGAAAGTAATTTTATGAAATAAGCCCTACAAAAGCTACAATTAAATAACTTAATAAGTAGTCCAGAAAATTCGGCATATTCTTACTTAACTTTAGAACTTTGGTAAATGTAATACATCACCTAATATAATGAATGAGCTAAATATTATTTTATTCAATATGATGTACGTGATTTATAAGAAATATTTAGAAGAATTCTAATCGCGAGCAATAATACAATATTTTGAAACTATAATATATTACATATAAATATTATTAAAATACTTACTTAGTAGAAATACTGCTTCGTGTGGCCACCAAAATCATAATTTTGTATTGTATCGTTCAATTAAAAATCTACATCTTCTATTCTATAATATCTATAATATCTACTCAACAATGAATAATGGAGAAAAGTAACAATTAAATTTTCTTATTTTATCACATTTATCAAATTAAAATATTTCCATTGCATTAATTTACGGATTTACGACGAGATAAGGATAACATTTAAAATGTAATCAACAATTTCTAAATCATAATATACAAAAATATCTGTTTGATAAATGTGATTGACGATGCAATTGTTGACAAAATTTTATTCTAAATTTCATCTAGAATATATTTAAAATTTTTATTCCATTTAATATCCAATCATATATTTACTTAATTTACATAAGCATTTTTTAATAACTGTTCTTTCATAAATTATATACGCTCATTTTTCGTAAAATTTATAGAATAAATTTTAATGAAATACGTGAAAAAAATACTGAAATATATTGCCACATCAAGAACTTTTTAACATTATTTGCCTAGCAATACTTTCCAAACAAATTACACACACAGTTACAAATTACACGCACATTAATTTACTCGTGGAAAGAAAATCAGTGCAGTAGACATATATAATGTATAAATACATTAAATAAATATATGGAAATGATATTATAAATATCACTACCGAAGCTCTGATCATTATTTATACTTTTGAAGTTTTTGTTTTTTTTTTTTTGTACACCATACGTATTAAATTTAGTTAAATATATAATAAATTAAATATATATATACATATATATATATATATATATATATATATATATGTATATGATTACATATATATATATGATTATAAACAATGTACATTTCCGTAATTTTAATATTAATGCGATTCAAAATTCATGGAATTTGTAAGCAGAAAATAAATGTATGACAATATAAAGAACAAAAATAAAAATAATTAAATATGATTGTTAAAACATTAGTTTATCTTATCATAATTTTGCATAAAACTATAAGAAAAGTAATGTTTGAAATTAATATTATAATAATTATAATATAATACATCAATATTTCATGTAAATATTTTATTAAATAAATCAGTTATTAAATAAGACAGTAGATTTTCTTTGAACACACACACACACACACACACACACACACACACACACACACGATTGATTAAAATTGATTAAACACAAGCTTTTTGACAAGTGAATAATATTTATAAATAACTAAATATAATTTGTCTTGGAAATACTATATAATAAATGTCATTTCTCAACTCTCTTATTTATCGTACATTTGTAAAGATAACGCTAATGTTAGTACTAATCGGTAATCAAGCCGCGACAGTATCTGATATTTTAACAATTTTTTAACAGGAACGAGTTCGTGGAAGGAGCAGTTTACGGATGCACTGACGGTTAGTGGTGGTGACGATGACGAGGAAGGGGATGACGCCGGTGAAGGATCCACCAGAGCTCCGTCATCGCCCTCGGCAGGAGATTATCTCATGCACTGTCTTACGATATTTTGGAAGGTTCTCTTCGCCTTCGTACCGCCTACCGGTAGGTAACCTTCGTCAACGTGTACATAATTGCACTCATACACGTGTACATTAAGATTTAAGTTCCCTTGGAGACTGAAGATTAATATTTTTACTTAGAACAAGTTACTAAAGTTTATGGGCTTGAACTACCAAGTAGATTGACTACTCGAGGTGGGAGAAATAATGATCTACTGGAAAAGATAGTAATGAAATTTTAAGAAATTTTAAGAAATTAAAGAAGGAAAAGGTATGAAAAATTTAAGTGTTTCATATTAGGCATATCATTTTTTTTTTTCATTTTTTTTTTTCCTTTTTTTTCCCCTTTTTTATGCACTTTTAATTAACCATCGGCTAATATTTGGATTGACTTTTTCTGATGAAAACAAATTATTTCCCTTTTCTGAATTATTTAGTGGTTTGATAATAGCGGCATTTCGTATGGATTTTCTCTCTCATCAAATCAATTCGTTGGCAACTTTAGATCGCTTTTATTTTCCATATTTATAATATTATTTATAATATTACGTATGTACAATGATTGCATTTTGCGTTAAATATTACATATTACTCACTCGCTCAAATCTTATAATATTTCTAACGGCCGTTTTATATTTACTTCTGTGGCTTTGAAAAGAATTCGTCAAGCTCGATAACTTTTAAGACCAAATAACATGTTAAAACATTCAATTTAATCCATTAAAATTACTTATTATTATTATTATTATTATTATTATTTTTTTTATTATATATATATTTTTTTCTTTCAATAAAATATAAAATCACAAATTTTAAATATTTCAAAAATTTGTGTAAAGATGTTTGTGATTAAATTAAAGACACAATTCCACTGTCTGACTAATTGACATGTACTTTTAAATAATTATATGCCAAATTCAATATTAGTATTTATTTGGAGAATAAGTGTTGTGACGTTATGAATGATTTAGTAATTTTAGGCGGTGAGTTTAGCGATAAAATTTTTTTTTTGAAAATGTATAACAATTCGAAAAATAAATGAATAAATATGAGAATATTTCTATTTTTACATGCTTCATTTTTCTTAGCTTTATCATAAAATCGAGGGAGAGAAAAAAAAACAACAAATAAAACAGAACAAGACATTAATATATGTCAAAATGTATACAATTTTATATGCATTTGCTGTGATTAATGATAAATTCATAATTAATGGCATATAATTTAATAAAATTATTTATTAAGTTACTTTACGATAGCAGGAACTATTGGTTATAATTGTATTTTGATAAGCGTTAGAATATTTTTAATAACTATTCTCTCAGAATTTTTGCCAAGATATAAGCAATTATGCTGCCCTACAGAATCTAGATAAAATGGATTAGGAAAAAACTTTATCCTTTTGTAATTTGAGCCAGATAAATGTCCCCCCAACTATACACGACATAAAACACATCGAGTTTTTTTTATTTTCTAGTTTTTATGAAGGGATAACATGAATGAAGAAGCGTAAAAACGTGAAAAATAGATTTTCTGGTTGAAATTGTGGTTGTTCGGGCTTTATTCGTCTACGAATGAAGATGTGTGACAATGAATGATCATTAAATGAGAAAATTTCATCGAAGATTGCTTTTATCTTCAAGTAGAAGTATTACGAAAGTTCTGAAAATTATTTTGAAAGGCACTATATGACATTTATTATTTTCGATATTATGCACCAACATAAAAACGCGTTGATTTAGATTTATGTCATTTATCCACTCGAATATCGCTTTGATCATTAAACCTTGATAAATTAGAAAATTATTTATTTTTGCTGGCTTGAAAAATTGTGCTCGTCAATAAAATTGTTGACTTTTATAAATGAGAATTATTATTAGTTAGAATTTTGTTTATGACCTTCAATGTACGCAAAGATAAAATTAAAATGATTATTATATTATCACTATTATACAAATATATTTTCGATTAAAATTTTTTATTGCAAACTTTACTGCTTATGTATTTTATGAACATCTATCGTTCAATCATAAAATTATAATTAACCATGACAGATTTAATGACTAAATAAAGAAATTAATATCAATGAACGTTTATGGCTCTAGATAATTACTTACATTTATAAAATACATTATTCAACAGACATTTACAAGATATTAATTTAAAAAATACTATTCATCTCGATTTCATTGTGTTTATTTTATCAATCCAGCTAGATCTCGAATAAATCTATATATATATATATATATATATATATATATATATAATACTTTCAAAAGAACCTAAATACTTTGCTCTAGGTTATATTTAAAATTAGTTAAAATGAAAAAGCATAATAAAAATCTAGATCCGTTTAATTTCAGACTATAAAATGGAAGCAAATCCATCGTTTTGGGATTGTAAAAAAAAAAAAAAAATCAAAATTAGAATAGCTCTTTCGCGTCGTTAAATTGCTATCAGAAAAGAGGGACAAACTACTTATAATTGCTTTTGCTTACATTTCGCTCTGGAACAGAGAGACCAGGCAAATAATGCAGACAGACATGATGCTGATCGATGATAAACGAATTTTGTCCCTCGGGCTGTGCATTCGAGCATGAACGTACGGGAAAAGCAAGGAGATACGTTTCAACAATTTCCGACGAAATTACAGGTGCTTTCGTTAGGTGCTTTAGTTATTCAAAGAATATTTAAACTGATAATTTCCATTTTTCATTGCTCTTTACATTTTTATTTATTTATGATATATGATAAATAATGTAAAACGGCTACAGCCATTAATCTACGAAATTAATTCAAGAAATAATGGAAGCAAATCAAAAGGATAGAACTTTTTTTTTTTTTTTTTTTTTTTTTTTTTTTTTTTTTTTTTTTTTTTTTTTTTACTGAAAACAATGAAATACAAATAATTGTATGTAAGAGAAAATTTTGTATACTGGAAAGAGTATACTCGAACTTTTCATATATTTCCCATCAATAAGATATTTGATGTATTTCCTAATATTCGTACAATAATTATGTGCTCAATATCTTTCAATATTGCAAAGGTTTTAGTCTATCAGTTTTTTTTTTTTTTTTTTTATAAGAAAGTATCCTTTACTATGATCAAGCAAATTAATATTTTTTGTCAAAATCTCTAAACTCTAAAAATTTCGAAGTAATATTTTAATTAGATATTACACTTGTTAAGTTAATAATGTTAAAATACTCTAAATATTATAAAGTAATCTTAAAAAGCATAGCCTAGCGTATATTTTATGCTTTATATTTAAAATAAACGTACAATTATCATTTCAAAAAAAAAAAAAAAAAAAACTTAAAAAATTGTTAGAATTGTTAACAATGTAATTCTTTGTATTCAAACGACGCCTAAATTTCTATTAAACTGATGAGAAAATGTTTTTTTTTTCTTTTTTTTTCAAGCTCTTATTTTACATTACACAGAGGCATTGGGTTATTCACTCTGAACATCTGTAAAACATCAAATACGTTTTTCGCCAAATTACTTTTTAATAGTATTGCGGAATAAAGCTCTCCTATGTTTTTTAATATAATTAAAATATTGATTATTATTCAAATTTATCTTCTATATTTTCAAAACTACTAATTTTCAAGTTTAAATTTATTTTTCATTGTTTATATCTTTTACTAAAATAAGTAGTCGTTAATTAAATAATATACAATTGAAATGATTAAATAAACTTTTCTACATTGCCAAAAAATATACAACCTATATAGTATATACTATTACATTGCTATCGCTTTAAGATATTCTCCAAGTTTCTCTTATTTTATTTCATCTGAAAAAATAAGACTTTCTTCGTAAGAATTTCTTCGTAAAAGGTGTCTATGAGGTACGATCCATTATCTGTAAAACTTTGAAACTTACAAAATTTTCTTTCATAAACAATTTTATGTGCATATATTGTTTCTCCTCCTTATTCAATTTGGCATATGAATCGGAAATAAACGTCGGTTGAATATACGATAATTACAATAGAATTTATAATACTTGTATATCGATTAAATAATAATAATAATAATATTCGTAATATTATATAATTCTAAAGATTTTAAGTTTTGTATATAAAATATATAATTTATATATTAAAAATCACAGTTATCATAATAATATTATATAAATTTTTATAAAATAACATTTCATTTAAGCAAACGAATGATTTACGATGGCAATTTTATGTAAGTGACTATTCTTGTACATTAAAGTAGCCAAAAAATATTATTATTATTAGTTTATGTTACGCAAACAAATTGAATTGTAATTATAATAATAATACAATTTCAAAATATAAATGGATATATTTTTGATTGTTTTAATGAAATAATGTATAAAATTCGAAGAAATAGAGTTATAATATTTATTTATAGTTCATAAATACTTATGAAATTAATTTTTATATAGCTATTTTAAATATTTATTATAGATATTCTATAATAATCGAAAATTTCATACATAATCTACAAAAAATTGCTTAAATTCTTTTCATGCACATAATGTATAAACATTTATATATTGCTTATAAATCTATTTTTCTATATTATATTATCATGTATAAAAATTTGTCAATATAAATTTTAAACGAAATAAAAGTGCATTAATACATTTTATGGTATAACAAGTCAATTAACACGGCAACTTGTAAAATGGTCAATAAAAATGTTTTAAACAAATAAGTTATGCATAAAAAAAAAAAAAAAAATCAATTATTTTTTATTATCGAATATATATCCGATGAAAGGCTCAATTTTTAATTAGATATTTCAAAAATATATGTAGTTCTGTTACTAAATAAAGAATTGTATTCAAAGGATTATTTATAAGTGTTTATTGTAATGTCAATATTAAGGAAAAATAGGTAAAAATTGGAATATAAAGCTCTTTAATGAAAAATATTTTAATGGAATATTGAATAAGAGCAAAAGAAAGTGTTTAGTGAAAGATAAAGACAGGATATTTCAGAAAAAAGAAGTATTTAAAAAAAAATGCAGTTTTCTCGTGTACACCTGTACACTTGTTTGTGT